ATCCGCCACTCCAGAACTTGTGCTGTTGATTTCTACGAATCTGCTGCCCACCATCGAAGCTATACAGCGTGCAATCGTTGTTTTTCCAGTTCCAGCGCTCCCCCAGAGAATCATCGACGGTACACGGTCTTGCTCAATCAAGCTCCTGAGCACTCCATGTTCTCCCACCAGTTCCTGTCCGCACACTTGATCCAAGGATGTTGGCCGCATTCGTTCTGCGAGTGGCGCGGCTTTTTGGAATGCATTTGTCTTTGGTTTCTTTGCCCGCTGTCCCTCCTCCACTTTGACCAGAGCATCCGCCTCCTTCTCTTCCTTCACCTGGGGGGCAATATCCTCAAAAGACCTCTTCCGTGCAGGTTGAGTTGGAGTTGACACACCATTACTCTGGGACTTTGGCTGGAAGCTCAAAGTTGAGCCGGGTTCTACCTTCGGCGTTGGATATACGGCAGCTCGTTTTGCTGCTGGTGTTTGGAAGAAGCTCGAGACGGATGCGGGTGGTTTCTGGGAAGCATTCTGCTGCTGAGCGAGTGGCGGAGAACCAGTATCGAGGAATGATTCGCAAGAGGAATCGATGTGGGCGTTGATATCTTTCGATTTGACCGCCTTGCTGCAAATTGGACATGCAACCATCCTGCTTGAATTGGGTGTTGTGATACAAAGTGGTAGCAACGGCACCTAACGTAGGTAGGTATCTTGATTTGAGTATACTGGAGACGCGGTGGAAATTCGCGGGGACGCGTACAAATTTAGGCTTTCTCGCCTAAGCTTTAGCGTGCTCCTCCTGAAGATCACAACACCACTCAGGCAGAACTCCTCCTCCTCCTCGATGATCGGATAGAACCGCTCATTCAATGTCTGATATCGATGGATTGAAAGATGTTACCCCACAACTTGTCTACCCTTACAATTTTTGCTTCTTATGGTCTTCGATGTCTTATGACAGGGCCTGGACATGGCACAGCTCCCCGACACGAACTATGGGCTTTCATTAAGCCAGTGGGCTTGAAATGGTGATTAGAGCTAAAGATATCTACAACATCTCAAAGTTTCCTTTTTGCCTAACGTAGTGCCAGACTAAGAAGGTCCAATGTATTCAATTTCGCTAGAGCATGGGTCTATGCGACTAGTTCCTAACTGATCATCAATGTATAGAAGCATTTGATTTCTTAACGCAATATGGCGTTGGATATCACGAACTTATCGCCGGATAGCTGTTGCTGAAGTTCCTTCAAGAAACGCGGGCACCAATAAAAGCAGTGCACATACTAATCAGTGCACATGAGAAGATGCGGAGGCATATCAGTGGTGTGCGAATTTTACAGAACAGGTGGGGAGAGAGGGGGAGGCCTTGTGCACATCAGTTTTGACGTTGGCCCATATGCGAAATACATACTCAGCTCTGCCAGTACGTCGCTAGCCTTGTATCCCGGAAGTTCCCAACATTTCTTGATAATACCTCTCAGCGGCAACGCTACCATCGATAAGTCAGGAAACTCCTGGTCACGCAAATGTCGATAGATGTCCCGGCTGCTCTGACCCTCGAAGAGCCGCTCCCCACTGTCGAGCTCGTATAGGACTGTACCAAGGGCAAAGATATCATCCTCCGCCGTGGAATAGGGGTTCCAGTCATGCTGCGGATTTGCATATCGCACGCCGGCGCTGATAGTTGGGAGGAGGCCTTCCGTACCGGACCCAGCGAAGTCGCATAAGATCAACCTGCCGTCGTCATGGACGAGAAAATTATGAAGCCCGATATCACCATGCACAACGCCCCGGGAATGGACGTATTCGACCGCCGATACAGCTTGGTAGGGCCAGCTAATAAGTGCGTCAGAGTCATTCCTCAAAGGAGACGGGGGTAATCACGAACCAGCGTCTCGCTGTCTCAGGAACGCCAATGGCATCCAGCTTACCAAAACAAGCCGAAAGAGTTCCACGAGAGTGGTACTCTAGTAAGAGCCCACTGCGCAATAGCTCGCATTCTGGAGGGCTTCTACCAAAGTATTTGAGGATGTTGGGGTGTCCTTGGCCGTGGTTTTGCAGGTGCTCATATATCCTCCTCTCAGAGTCTTGGTTCTTGTGCAGCGGGGGGGAAAGTTTTGACATCGACGTTCGTACCTTTGATGTGGATGACTATGGATGTAATCCAGTGCCTATACCTTCCAAATCCTCCCTTTTGAGGGCGGAAAGGTCGAAGGGAGGCCGTCCATGAGGTCCAAACGTGACCGGGGAGCATGAGATGCTTAGGTTTTGACGGTTCGAATTGAAAAGATTTGCGAAATACACCTAGGCCTATTCCAATAGAATTGGCTTTGATCTTAATTTATCAGTTAGCACCAAACTGCGTCGAAGTGGTGCTAGTTCTCGCGATAGACAAGAAGGATGTGGAAGTTGGGAGACGCGAAATTCATCTTAGCCTGCCTACTCCTAGCCTATGGGGAGTGCCCCGCCTAGTGGCAGGCGGCTGACACCCGAATGCCCTTCCTTTCTTTGATTTTTTTTTCGGCTTTGGCACGCCTTCCTAATCTTATCTCTTAACTATGGTCGGCCTCAGCCTTCCATGTTGAGCTTCAATTTTGGTTACCTTGCCTCAGCTTAAATAGCTCCTTCAACTGCGGGGGCTAGGCAGGCTGACGCTGGGCGATTTAGTACACTGTCCAAAACACAATGGGCAAGTCCGACGTCTCTGGTTCTACAAAGTTAACACAGATGGATTGGGTTGGAGTCTTCCTTAATACTGGCACTTGGATCCTTGGAGTTTTTCTTCTGGCCCACATCTGTCAACAGGTTTCCTGCACCTTCATGACTGCTAAAAGACGACTATTCCCCGTTCAGATCCTGAAAAGTAGTACCATCGTCCTCCCCTGCGCCGAACTTCCACAGTTCAGGGCTATTGTTTCTTGTGGCGAGCGACGATTCATGTGGTGCCCGTAGGAATAGACTATGGGAGCGAGAGGGGTGTTTGAGGACTCGTATAGCATGCTTACAAAACGGGGGGGCGGGGGTGAAAAAGTCCTCCAGCGAGCGTTGTAGCAGCTAGGAGGAAAAGTACTATCTACTTATAACTCTAGCAAGTTTTAACACAGCGACGGAGGAGAGAAACAACAACACGGCTACCCAGAGCTAGGCAAACATGTTCCACACCGGAACCTTACGTTACGCTAGACCAGAACCTAACCAGAACCATCTATCTAGCCATCGAAATATAACCAAATTCCTTCTATGGTATTGCTCCAGCCATCCATGGGTCTTTGAGGGGTTCAGAGGCTTGCTTTCTCGTCTCTGGTAGCCATTTGAGCATTGATCTTATGAAATTGAGAAACTGCTCTTTGGCTTCACCATCGAGGGCGGATACTGATTCTTCAAGGGAAAGCTGCGGTACAACCGTACCTCCAGCACCCTTCCAGCGTCCTAAATCATCTGAGGTTAGTTGAGTGATGAAGTTTGAGTCCTATTTCTAACCTTGCTCGTTAAAAACTTTCTTCGTGATCTCGCCTCTTTGTATGTACTCGAGAGGAGGCAAGCCGAGATATGCAACCATTTCAGCGACGTGGTGGGTTGCCGACGGCTGCAGATTTTCATCGACCGCGTTGAACAAATGCCGATTCTCGAACAGATCCCAGATCTATTACTTAACTTCAGTGATAAGCAGGAGCATGCAGAGGCGGATGTGCTCACTAAAACGGCAACGTTCCAAATATCAACACTCGAACCCCATTCCATATCAAACAATACCTCTGGGGCACGGTATAGCTCGGGTTGGATTAGACCTCTGTGAGATTCTCCTATTCGAGCTTCTCCGAAGTCACAGAGGACTGGTTGACCCCACAGGGAATCCCTAGGTAGACCGAGTTTACGGGAGCCGTAGATGATGCGGATGTCGTTGATGACTTTTGTCGGTGATGGTTCCTCTGTTTCGGCTCTTTCAAAATCATCCAGTACAGATTCGTCATCCACGGTTAACATAATATTTGACGGGTTAATGTCTAATTCCATTCATCAGCTAGGATAACACGAAATCGCGAGGGCCCACCTGTATGTACCACATTAGCTTCATCATGCAGGAATGAGAGAGCGTTTAGTAAGTTAGACAGCGTCCACTTCAAGAGCCGCTTAGTCAGTTGATGTGATTGATTAATGTACTGGAGCTCTCGGATAGTCATGTGCATCGGGGGATGAACCAAGCACAAGTGCTGACCGATAGGGCCGGTGATTTCGAATGTTCCCAATAGGCCGCGAATGAAGGATTGACCATGGTGCTGAGAACTGAGTGAGCTGACGTGCTCGTAGAACTGTAGCTCTCGAAGAATGCGTGCAGATCGGTCAATGTCTCGAGTGCAGACCTTTATTGCGACAAAGCCGTCATCTCTTTCCTTTGCATCAGCCAGTTCGACATTATGAGTGTCACGGAATATATACCTGATGTTTCGACAAAGCCAGATTGTAGAATATGCGCCGTACCCGAGCTTCCCCAGTACTTTGTAGCTGGAGTCGAGAATCTCTCCGATGCGAACCGGATAGAATTAATCAGGGTTATACCAAGGGAGTCGCTCCTCCTCGAAGGGTGGGCCCCCTGGGTCAATTTTGGCAGTGGGAAAGCTCGTGAGTTGTCTCCTTGCAAACCGTGATACTTCTCGAGGATAGACCTGATTAGCAAGTCTGAACATGTTGGAGGGGTTAGAGCTTGATTGATCTATTCCCAGTCGGCGCTTATGTTCAGGGCGAAGTTTCCCTTTTTAATTATAAAAAATTTTTTCTTAAAAAAAAACCTGCTATTAATTATATATATTTCTTATTAGTGTATAAAATCGCTATTACACATCATAATTCTTGTTCTAAAATAAGCGCTATAAAGAATTATTAACATGACTCGAATGGCCAAGGTGATTAACAACTCTTCAAATTAGCAAACGAGAATTTTTCAACAAAGTCTTTATATCACTAACCAGATTATGTATTCGATTAAGACCCTTTTGTTTCATTCAAAAGTAAATTGGATTGCCCGGGTAGCTCAATCGGTAGAGCGTGTGGCTCTTATGAATATTTCAGATAATCACTAAAAACCTCAAGGTCGTGGGTTCGAGCCCCACCTCGGGCTCAATTCCCGAGGTTCTCATCATTGAGAGCTTCTAATATATTTTTTGGTCCTTTTTGCTGCTGCATATGCTAATATATCTGTTGGAGTTTTCTATAGTATTATCCTTTAGGCAAAGATTTGTTTGTGTCGTTCTTGCCAGTCCAGTGCCGTGAAAAGTCTTCACTTAAGCGAGTGAACATTGCGGAAAGTACAACCCCACACACTTCTAAGGTTCAGGCTCTGCACCCTGACTATGCGGGCTTTTTGACTGTCTGTTAAACTCTCAACAAACTCTCAATAGAGGTGACTGATTGAAGTTCTTGAGACTGGTTGCTTTATTATTATTTGGTGAGGGGCAATTCCAAAATGCGCCCAAGGCAGGAGCAAATGCATTCTATCCTGGGCGAGAAGATTGCCACTACTTCATCGAACTTCAAGGAATTGAGTGGCGTGGCATTAGGATCTCTACCTCCTAGTGTCATGGGCAGCATGCAGGACATTGAAACATTAAACAAACCATTGTAATAGATGTGTGGGATCGAGCGGCTTCTTCTGGCCAAGATGTTCACCTCATGCGGTCTCTGAAAGTCCTGGATTTAAACTTCCCTGACGCCATTGCACAGTAACATAGGTCCAGAGGAGCTAGTGCATTCGAAGTTTTGATTTATTAGAGATTCCGATCTTCTGTACTCGATTGCGTGATAGAGCAGTCAAGTGTGCTTCTTCCATCACTACGAAACAATGCTGCAACGATTTTGTATTAGATAGCCCAAACCCAATCGTGAAAACTGTTAAATTACAAGGAAACTATGTCCTTCATTCGAAATTTAATTACGAGAAGAACCTAGTTTCAAGTCGTGAATGTAGAGAACCAGGCACCATTCCCACTCTCAAACCTGCGATCGTTCATGTACTTACTTGATCATGTTACCATCCATTAGACGGAAATTATTCCTGTGTAATGATCGCTTTCTCACTCCCAACTGCTACCAACATGTGGCTTTGGGAAATGGCGCGGACTCTCTTCAATGGCATGACTCGATTGCATAAGTCGATTTACCCTTTCCATCCATTTTACTTACGTTGTGTTCGGCTAAAGATCGGGGTAAAAAAACAGGCTTGTATGCCTTCATAAGATTCATATAAAAATTAAGTATTATTTATCATTTTAAACCAGTAGTAGACGGGCAAGTAAAACATTGACCCATGTTACAGTTTTTTCCCAGGGTAGCTGCCAATGCGAAGCACGTAACTGCTAGACGCAGCCTCTACATCAACTCCATCTTGGATTGGCGAAGACACATCATCAATGGCTGTTTGTATAACACCTGACCTGAAATTAAGCCCAAAAGTTCACTAAACCTGACCAGTCAAACATTTGGGCACCAAATAATCTGCCATGGCGTTGTGGCTTGAACAATTCAGACTAGGGTTGCTTCTTTTTCAGCTCTCATGCAGGATGTCGCTAGCCCCTCACCTCAGCTATTTGAACAACACGGCCTTCTGGGCCACGATCTCCTCTTCACATACTCCTTCCGACGAAGTACTTTTGTGGCCGACATTGCAGCACGTTGGGTTTGGGGAAGCATACTCCCTCATGGTCCAGAGCCAGACGATGAGATCCTCAAGTCGCCAGAAGAACACGGAACAAACAACCCCGTAGCATTGGATGGCCAGGAAGTAAATCTACAGCTATCACCTACACTAAGACCAGAGGACGACTCGGACTATCAGCCAAGTAGCTCCAAAATGACCCCATCAAATATTCAGGACATTTCCAATCTCAACGGCGACTCAATCATGTTCAATGCCCTGCCTACTAAAAGCAACGGCGAAAGCAAGATGATGGTAGGAATAGGATCTCCTGTAAAAATTTCAGATTGCTCATTATTTCATAGCCCCAACATGTCAGACGACTCTGGAAGCTGGCGATTGAGGACGTTCGAAGGCAGGTGAAGGTAAAATAAGATGCCCTCGAGCTGCCGCATTGTCTAGTTGGGCTAATTCGTCCACTGTTGAAGGTTCGACGGATTCTGGAAAGCGCAATAGCTCCAAAAGATGAACTTTGTATAACCTGTGCTTCGATGAAGCTTACCAAAGAAAAGTTCATAATCGATGAGTACGCAAAATATCGGCAGAATACCATGCAACGAGACAACAAGGGGCCAACATAGGGCCTTGTGGAAATCGACCGGACAGAGAATGACATGGAATTCGCTGCTAACGGGTTCTGTCTCGGTGCTTGGACATCGATAACATATAGAGCAGTTTGTTGCAATCTATGTAGGCTGATCGTTCAGTCCGTTCATGATCAAAACATCGAAGAAGCAGATCTGAGAGGTAAGATTGACTGAGAAGATTTTTTGGTTTATTTGTATTATTATTTACTGACTCGGAAAGATGTCACCTGCTATGCAAGTTGGCAAGTTGATGGCAGAATTCTCAAGCGTAATTCAGCTGGGAAGGTCAACGAGTCACGGGCATGCACTCGAAGAATCCGGCTTCACTGGTCCAGACCTACAATTGCCAACATATATATTGTACTGGTAGCATCACCGACCAAAGATAATTCAGGTACCACTCTAGTTCAATCAACTGAAAAACCCCTGGATCTCTTTCTTGGCCGGCCAATCCAGAATTCTACGAGTATAGATTCCGCGGGAATCAAGAGGTGGGTCGAGTTCTGCATTCGATCTCATGGCTCAGCTTGTCACACAGAAGTACCCGACCTGTCGAGGTGGAAGTCATTCTTCGGTGTAATCGATATAAATAACATGTGTCTGAGCCCTCTGCCACCTAGGATGAGATATATTGCCCTCAGTTACACTTGGGGCAGGTCTCGAGTATTCACTACTACGGAGAACAATATCAAGGGACTTCTGAAACACGGCGGGATCTCCAACATATTCGACATGTTGCCACGTACGATAAGAGACTCCATCGAACTTGTTCGGAATCTGGGGGAGCGCTACCTGTGGGTTGACTCACTGTGTATCATCCAGGACAATGAGAGATCATGGGCCCTTAACTCTAGCGTCATGGACTTGGCGTATGGTAATGCGTACTTCACCATATGTGCAGCAGATGGACATGACTCAAGTGCTGGACTACGTGCCCTTTATGCCAAGCGGCAGCAACTGGTCGCTCAATACAGTCCAGAGATCCGACTAATATCTACTCAACCAGCTGAGCGCTACGTTTCGCAGTCCACATGGAATACCCGGGCTTGGACCTTTCAAGAACGCCTGCTGTCGCAGAGAACTCTGATATTTGTTGATGGTCGAGTTTTCTTCCAGTGCAGGTCCACAGCCAGATCAGTTGATATCATCACCGAGGATGATTCTGCGGGCTGGTCAATCGACTTCATAGGCTCTCCAATGCAGATGTTACAGAATCTGTCCGAGTCGCCTCTTCTCATCTACAAAAAACTGCTAGAAATGTATCTGCTCCGAGACCTCACATTTCAGAAAGACATTCTTGCTGCTTTTTATGGAATTGGAAACTTCGTATGCCAAACGCTCGGTGGAGACTTGATTCATGGTCTGCCTTCGTCTCACTTCGACTGGGCACTGCTATGGGAGGCTCGAGATTGTGCAAAAAGACGAGTGTGCGAGGGTGGAGTGGGTGGAGTGGTTTTCCCAAGTTGGTCCTGGTGTGGCTGGATGGGCGATATGATCGAGTACAAACCACAGATGCTATCTGGTTGCGAGGAAAACTTGGATGACTGGTTATTGAATCACACATGGATTACCTGGTACATTCGGGACTTCAATGGAAACTTGAGACTTGTTTGGAACGGGCGAAATGGCAGTACTTCGTTAAAATAGAATGACAGTAGTTCTAAAGGATACGACCGCTCTACGAGATCCGACGAAAGCACATTCGATCAATATGGACGCTTCATCAAAGAAGAGGAGCGCCATCTTCCAAGATCAGAGTTCAAAATAACTTTGCCTGGAAGTGGCTGTCCATATGGAGTCAGTATCGCCGAGCAAGATGCATCCGCGATGCCCAGAACATTGATCAGACGTAGCCCAGAGAAAGATGCTCCGTATTTGCAATTCCATACTTGGTCCGCCTTTTTTCGGATTCGACAGACATTAGCCCAGAATTACTCGCCTGATATTGTCCGTGTCCGAAGATATGACATTCTAGACCATAAGTTTGACTGGTGTGGAACCATGTTGCTGGACCAGGGGAAGATATCGGCTCTGGCTTCACTGGACAAGCCATTTGAATTCATAGCAATCTCGGACGCAAAACAATTCGATCCAATTGAGTATGACGAATGGTCGTATTACATCCCAAAGGAGAGACTGCAGTCCCGCTGGGACCTGTACTATGTACTCCTGGTAGAGTACAAGAATGGCATCGCCTATCGTGTGGGACTCGGCAAGGTCTTCAAGGAGGCGTTCAACTATTCGTGTAAAGTGGAGGGCAAAGAGTGGAAAGAATTTGTCCTTGGATGAAGATATATTTGCAGGAACTGCGAAGAAGTTTTGAGAAGATCTGTGGAAACCCAAGCACTTTCGAGAGAAGTATGTCCTCTCCTCTATCCTGGTTCGGGTCATTAAGCGAGAACAACACTTACCAAACATGGGACAGCCCAAGTGCAAAGACTTCAACTCCAAAGACAATGGAGGACTGGCGCCAGCTCAAATGAAGAATAAAGCGCTTGGTCAAAGACTGCTAGGGGTGTGCAAGTCTTAGGGGGAAATCACGTGTCGACTTTTGGCTGACTTTAGCACGTGAGATCAGCTTTTAGCTCCAAAAGTCAAATCGAACGCGAATCGGGAGGGAGCTCTGTACGTACATTGGTGCTTACCTGAGAGCAAGAACAGTTGTAGGTTCTTGGCAATCAGGACTCTATCTCACCTCATTTATGACTTCTCAGCCGCCACTCTCCCAATTTTAAACTTGGAATAAATTCTGAGTCTCACAGACCGTATCACCAGCAACACGATACGATGTCCAGCCCTTCACTCCCATCCAGGCCACCACATTGGGCCGTGACTAGAACT